AGACTGGGCCTAGCGGGCTGCCCATAGCGACACCATCGATTTGCCTGTACGCATTCCCTTGAAAAGAGAACGACACGTCGGTTGTGCAGAGCAGTAGTAGACGCTCGACATCTGCTGATGACGCAACACCACGTCGACCGAAGCACAGCGTTTCGAATTGTCTACAAGTCACAAGTCGCAAGATTGCTAAGGTTTCCTGAAGCAATTTCGATTAATCGATGTAAGTCCCCCTGTGCCAGCAAAAAGAACTGTATGTTAGTCTCTCCCTACCCTGGTGATATGGTCCTTTTGCCCCTCCCTCTTTTATGTTTTGTCTGTTTTTAATGTATTTTGCCTCACTCTGTTGCTATGCTAAAACCCTATATAAACATTGTATTTTCTGCAGTATGCACCATGTTGAGACGCAGCGAAATCGTCCTGGACATAAATCGTGCCGTATTGCAATATGGTCTTTTCTTTTCAAAAATATCTGAGAAACAACCAGTATCTGCTGCAGTACTGAAGTTTAGTTTCAAACACCGTGGATTTGATATGAAGGAACAAAGGAGAAAATGTGGATGGAAGATTGATTTAATAGCGTACCTTTCACTAAAGAACAACGATTCCATCGGGTGAATAATTTTGAGAAAACAAAATGAATACTGATAGGGTCCAAGACGATCCAACTAAGAACTAATTATGTATTCAATTATCTAACTCGCTGTTAGCTGCATACATTTTCACGAGTCACAAAATCTAAATTGATCGAACAATACTCACTAATTTAGGTGACGTGAATGAGAACTGAACACTTCCGGGATGCGACTAACTAAATAAAAGAATAAAATTCAAAATCGTTCTCGCTAGTCACTGTTGATAATTGATCGGGATTTATTGTTTAACAGAATTTAAAACTTCGAGCAAAACGAAAACTGAGTACAATCTCATGGACTGTGCAAGAGGTATAATTGGTATTTGGATAAAATTTACCTCGTCTCGTGGACACATGATTGTGATGATGGTGTACCGGGTGGTGATTGCCCTCAAGTAGTGGTGGCGCTGGTGGTGGTGGTGGTGGTGGTGGTGGTCCAGATAGGACTGGAATTGGATTTGCAGCAGTCAAACTGACAGCCACTCCGCGTGGATAGTCCTGAGCGGTCAATCGTGAATGACCTCGACCGACCAGTCCATGACCTCCTGATGGTCCATGAGCCTGATCAATCGGAGTTCTGTGGGGATTCATTTCCGGGGATAGGGATTCGCGACCATTCGGATCAAACCAACTGGGGTGGTTTGAACCGTAACGTTGTTCAAGCAGTTCACAAATTTCAACGTGACCAGCCTTGAGGGCAACACGGTATGGAGTGCGACCGTGACTGTCAGCTTGGAAGGGATTTGCTCCAGCCTAAAAAAAACAATTAGTGAACAAAAATGTGCTTCATAAGGAAAAACATTGAACTTTGTATGCCGAAGTTAGATTGATCACGAGTTCCTACTATTTCATGTACTGATACAAATTTACGACGAAGTACAAACATGCTTCGATGGTTCAATGTTCTGGTAAGTTCCTTGGATGATGTTTGTGTTGGAGAGCGGGAGAAGGGGGAAGGGGGGGTAGGGACTGCGTTCAGAAGAAAAAGAGTAATTTCACGAGGGAAATATGCCTGTTTTGTCAGGTGAACCGCATCACTAACACGAATGAAGCTGAATTTATAAAACTGCATTTTACAATCGGCAATATAACCACATTTGTTAGGTGTACTGGAGAAAAAAAAACAAAGAAACGGAGGAAACGATCTGATCGAAACCAGTCACGCGAAGAGCAATAAAACGTGTGGTTTTGTGCCGTTTGATTGTGCAGAACCAGTCGGAGAATTCGCCCGAAAGTACGCAAAGTGATTTCAATCAACCACGAGAGGATCATGTGATTCCTGCATTGGCCACAAATATTAAATGAGAGTCTGGCAGTGAAGCGTTTGTCACAAATGGGAACATGTTGCTTCAGATGTAACAATTCCATTCCAACAGCACTGAAATCGACATTTTGATTCAGCCAGTGCTTTTGTAATAAGTGCTAGGGCTGGAGTGTCAGAAAACAGGTTCAGATAAACGAGTGAAAACAACGAATCATGTTTGGGATTTGAAGGATAATTTTCAAAGGACCAATGGCATTGTAATAATGCTTGTTGCAAAAAAAGATTTACGCAATCAATATATATCCAATGCTACGATGAAGATTATATTGAATCCAACCGTAGGTAATTTAATTAAGTAGATAACGATATTCTCACTGGATCTAAAAACTATGATATATCCGTCATGCAAGACACTCAATCTGCCGGACGTTTACGAATGTATTCTTATTTGGTCACCAGGTTCAGATTATCTCCCATTGTTCATTATGCATATATCTGTGGGCATGGTAAGAGACAGTAAGATGCTACTTTAGCATACTGCGAGTTACATGAGGAGTGCATCTATAAACGTCGATTTCATTTGGAACACGAGCCCAATTTTCCTGCTTACGTCTTATTTGATGAACAGATACAACTTTTAACATTTTTCTCAGTTCCTAAAGTCCAATTATTCAATGACCTAATGAAAATAAAGTGTAAGCACCACTCAGCATGGTGGTTTTTTACTCTCCAAAAAAGTATTTCAGCACATCGATTATCCAGCTTTTCTGATGACCTAACCAGGAAACTGGGTCACATAGGTCCTGTTAGGCCCCCTGGCTGGGGACCTCGGGATGATCGTAACCGATGGTTAGAGACACTGAGCGATATGGCTGGGTGTCGTAAACAGTGGCGTTTTTGCATCTCCTCAATTTCTTTGCAACCTCAGACCACTGATCTTCTCCATTTTTTTTCGAATCCACTTTCAACTTTCCTTTCTTCTCCTATTCTTCATCCCAATGGGCAGCCAAAAGACAGCAACCAAAACCGGCGCACGAAAGTGCATGGTTAATGGTTATTCAAACTGAACTGAACTGATGACCTTTCACCTATGCACAAACAATCAACCAACCAGTGCTTGAATCTCACCCCTACTGCCTCTCTGTGATTTACGGCAGCCCTTTGAAAAATTGTATCGTGAATTCACTAAAAAGAAGTTAAAAAAGGTAAAGATCGATAAGAGCCACAGAAAGTACAAGACGTCCAGAACGGGGTAGGAAGACAAGTCGATGTGATTGGGGACTGAACGCCAGAACAATGAAAGGACATCTCTGACCTTCTTTGAATCTTGACATGCAAAGACAAGCGTTGTAGATAGTGACAATCTCGATAGGTCCTTAACGGTACAATCTATGGATATCAAAGAATTCAGTGAGGCTATGACCGTGTTTCAATGATAGAATTTGTCTAAACTAGGCGGTGCTCGTTCGTTTCGTTCATCAAATTAGCGCTGTGATCGGACACCAACAGCCTTTATTTAACCGTCACTTGTATTGAAGAAATCCACTAACAGTTTCAACTGCTGTGTAACATACTTAATCTTTCTTATTCATCTAAATGTGGAGACAACACTAAAATTGGCTTGAGTTGGCAAATGCCAGACCAGTCTGTTGTATGTATGACGGGTGCACGTTCGAGATGTGTCCGCTAGGAGATGCTCAAGTAGAAAAATTGTTGACCATCCCTTTTGAATTCTTACCTGGAGTCGAACTGAAAGCAGAACTAACCCAGTGCTACAACATTTTACACTTTGAAGGTGCAAAACGCATGCGGAACATGAATAATCGAACTGTCGACAGCGGTTTACAACAGACACAGACCAGTACTCTGCATTATCATAGTGTGCGTAAATCAGATCACATTAATTACCATCTGTCTGTAGCTCGACATCAAATCTCTGGTACGGGGACATATATAACGCAGAAGTTGAACAGACTAATAACAAACAGCGGCGCTAACAAACGATGCTGTTTCTCATTAAATGGATTAGACAAAAGTTTTAAAGCCAGAGTGTGGTTCCGGCTATCAGAGTGCTACGAGCAGAAAAGAGAAATGAACATTTCCAGTCCACCACTAACTGCGCATCATACGATCGACTGTGTTGAATGATATCTTCAGAAATTGGGGGACGACTGAATGAGGCCAATGTTCCGCAATTCGAAAATGTGATGGATGCAGTCTCGATCGGCCTTTTTTCGCATTCGTGGTTTGTTGGAGTGCAAAAACAGTATCATCTTAAGGAAAGATTTCAGGAAATAATGATCAGCCATATTATTCCGTGGATATTGCGAGAGACCTTGATCTTTTTATGGCAACCATCAAGTTTTACACACAGTTAGTCCATAATTCAACGTATCCCACATTCAGTATCATGGGAAACGAACGTATTAATTTTCCCTCCAGTTCTGAAACCCAGGATCAATGCTTCAGTTTATATGCTTCAGTTATATTTAAATGACCCATTCGTAACAGAAAGACTGCCGAGCGGAGCACAAATTTACTACGACAACAAAGCAAGTAAATTTTCATGGGGCAGACAAAGCCATGAATGGTGCCTTTTTCCAAGCAACCCTCAGGTAAAATATGCGTTCCGATGAACTGAGTATTCTGAGTGCTCAGCTATCGGAACTAGAAAGCTAAATCATATGACTTGAATAGGTAAGCCAGATGGACATTTAATAATCCAGGGATGGAAATGAACTTTTGAATGATGAGATCGCTCACAACTAAAGCCTGGTAGTGGTGCTCGAAATAACGCATGTAAGGTTCGTTAGAAGAAATCCTCGATGGTTACTACTGAAGAATACACTTTTGATAAGCCAAAATGCGTGCTCTTGCTGGAGGACAACAGAAGAGGATGTACCTTATATAATTCAATTATTTGCACACAACTCGATAACCATTGTTAAAAATAAAATCACTGTGTATGCCTATGGCAATTAAAGTGATGCGAGAAACTTTTTTAGATCCCACAAGTGCAGCAACAAATCCACTGATGACATACTTCTCTCTCTTCTCGTTTATCTCGGGAAATGCAATTTCCGTTGGAAACACCAGTTCTCGGGAAATACACATTTCAGCTAATTGAGAAACGTAACAATCCGCGGTCGTAGACGTGTTGGCAACAGCGTACGTAGTGGACCCTATGATTCACGACAGCCAAACTATTTTACCGCATAAAGAACGTTGCTGTGTGAAAATTAGCTTCATTCTTCGTGATAAGGGATTAACGTGAACACTGGATGCAATCATTTTAACTGTGGAGCACACTGTATTAGATTTTTACTTTCCATCAACAAAGTAGTTATTCAACGGAGAAAGCACATGAAAAATGCCAAAATGTTTTCAGTGATACTCCATTTGATATTGCAACCAGTTTAGATCGTTTCAGCACGCAAGTGAAGAACAGTAATTCAACTGTCTCGAGTTGTATTGTATTCTAGCTGCGTTGCCATTCATTTTATATGTGTAACACCGGTGATTGAAGTTAGCAATGATATAATGCACCTCAACCACGTCCAACATCGGTATTGATTCGAAAGCGGTTAGAAACAAACAAGATAGGGTTAGTCCACTAGAACGGCCTGAAACCGTCTTGAGTTAGATGTCCATAAGGTGTACCCTCTCCTCGAAACGGAGAGTTAGCATATAGATCCTTCAATTTCCTTCTTTTATATTGCTGACTGAATCAAAAAATTGAACAGGCTTTATGAGCAAAAACGGGGTGTGTACGAAACGATTATTTATCTAGATACAAGCATAACATATTGGTCATCAAAAGCACAGAGAACCGCTTACAAACCTGGAGGAGGACGGAGCACACATGTGCATGACCTTCCTGGGCAGCAATGCAGAGAGACGTGGCACCTTGGCTGCATACTGCATCCACTCGAGCGTTACCCTCCTCAAGAAGCAGTTGACAGATGGCAGCGTGACCTTGCCAGGCGGCAAGCTGCAAAGGGGTTCGACCCTCTCGATCGCGAATGTCAACCGGCGTTCCAGCCTGAAAAGTTCGATGCAATAAACACATTCACTCCAAACAGCGTCCTAAGTTAGTGACAGATATTCTTTGCCAATGAGCTTGGTGGAAAGGATGAAGCACATTATAGTACATTTTACACACTGATATTTTTGAAATAAGGACGAATACTATGAACAGATAAAATAAGAAACCAAGAAGAGGGATATGTTCAATCCGGAGTAATTTAGAAATATATACTGCTTATCGATGTGGATAGTCTCAAATCCGTTTAAAAAGTACTGATGAACAATAAATCAGTCGGTGGTTAAGATGACGAGATGTCAATGCTAATCACTCTCACTCTCAAAGAAACATCTGTCAGTTGTCGTACAAAACAATTAACAATTCATCCATATGTGCTTTTACAAACTCTAATAATAGGTAATCCAAGAGCTGTTTTTATTTCAAACTTTTAAACATTGTACTCGGGTTGGAATAAACACGATTTTCATTCTCTGATTAACTTCCGGTCTACAATAACCGCACAAAAACCCACGAGGTTTTTTAAATAGACTTTTCAACAACAAAAAATGGTCAAAAATGTCGATGAAAGCTCAATATTGTTTGCTCTTTCAATCAATATAATTATTCCAGTCGCTTAGAATTTTGTCCACTTCGTTGGCCTAATCTAACACCCACATCCATTCGCAATGCCATTCACTTGATGGCCACTGACAAAAATGCGACTGGGGAAAACGCAACATGGGTCTGATCAATGTGCAAATGGGGATGCAAGATAACACGAAAAGTCAGAATTAAAATGCGAGAATAAATCTGGCTCATGCTAGAATCGTTTGTATCGCATTGTAAAACATTCATTTTTCTTGAAATTTTGGTTTCGAAAGCCCGTGACAACAAGCACCGACTGAAATGTTAAAATTTGTTTTGTCACCGACGTTTTACCTTCAGAAGGCCTTTAGCAAGAACCTTGTTGACGCAATTGACGAAGTTTGTTAGGCAAGCGATGGAAATGCCGGTTAGACAGCCGAACGTCAGACGAAATGTCAACTCATAGTTGCCGATTCTTTTTGACTTATGACCACAAAAGTTGAATTTGAAGCCCAACATTAGCATCAAATCAATTGGGTGTGCGCTGCACTGTGCTATTTGGAAGATTTCTCATTCATTAGAACTTTCTTCCCCCCCCCCCACCTTTAAAGCGAAAGCAAAATTAAAGACTGCCCATGATTTTGAAAATGTCAATCCCAAAATAACACCGAAATCCGGAGTATTTGTTGCGCCTAATGGAACAGGTATTTAAAAACTATGCGCAATAACTGCTTGCAGAGGCTTTTATCCCCTCGTGGATTTCGTTTATAAACGACTTTGGCTGCAATAGACCAGGAACCGTTTCGACCAACTTTTGGCTCCGAAATTAACTGAGGGTTGTAGAGCAAATGCCCGAATGTGTATCCCAGCGAATCACTATGGCGGTTATTCGAGGAACTTTACCTTGGTTAATCTGATCAGCCTTAAAATGTGAGCTGGTTTCTTCGTAAACCACGACACAATTCAGTTCAAAAGTCCGATGTAACGGTGACTATACACGACTGACGAGTGAGCTATCACAAAAGAAAAACTCGAATCTGGTGCCTGGTCAATGTAAGGTTGACCGGGAAAAAACTAAACGTTGTGTCAGAAGATGAAATGTGAAATATCACTCATGACACTGTTATCATTTCGACCAGTTCAACAGAAAATGAATTTGATGGTCATAAAGGAAAAAACAGAATGTATTGTGGTTATGCGTGGTTTGATAATATTCAGATGTAGCTATGAGAAGATGAGACCACAGGATCCCCGCATTTGGGAACTGTATCATGAGGCGCGAGCGCGACATTACGAAAACTCACTGACAAGCTCGCTCAATCACCACATTAGAATGTGATGAATGTGTCATTTTCAGGCGTAATTCGCAAACGATAAATCGTAACAGGAATATCCTGTTTCAATTCCAGGTGACGGTGTTATGTTATCATGTAAATAATTTTTTCTTCAAAATGAAATTTTCTTGCGTACTTCATTATCAAATGTTTTAATCTAACTGTTAAGGATAGATGAGAAATGGAGAAAAAAAAATGAAAAACTTCAAGGGAAGAATAAATGTTACCTCATTATGAACAATCAAACAAAAACAACTTAGGGAATAGAGCAAAAACCAAATTATACTGTAAGACATTTCAAAACCAAAATTCACCCGGTTGATAATCGGACCACAAAAGCCGTGGGTAATTTTGGTATGCAATGATATAATTCACATATTTGCAAACTTTATTGTTAAACGAAACAGTCCTGCACCAAATTCAACGTATTTCACAGAAATGCAAATACATTTTGTTTGAGGCACAACATCAAGCGGAAAAAATGTTATTCTTTTAGCTATACCAATCGTGATCGGAGATGAGTTGCCGGAATTCGATAGACAACGAACAAACAGACAGGATTCCAGTGCTTTTTGTTGTTGTTGTTGCCCTCCCCCCACCCGCCCACCCGTCCGTTGGACGTCCATATCAACAGCTTCCTATACTCGTTTACGCCGCAGCAGCAGCAACAACTGAACATCAAATGCAGGCGAATACCAATTACTATGATTCTAGTTCAAGTATCTCTTTATATAAAGATACTACACTATACTATATTATACTATGTGTATACGTGGTTACTGACGATGTAGTTATGTCCATTTCTCCAGTATTATTTTACTTTTCCGTTCGAGTTTTCGAATCCATATGATTAATGATCACTGTTATTCCGTGCACAGAAAACGGTAGAAACTATTATGAATGCCGTGGTCAAATCTTTGCAAAACAATGCATAGTTTTGATTAATAAATAAAGTTTCACTGACATACTGTTGGCTAGTGAAAAACGCGTATGCTGCACCTATACCGAAGAACTGATAGGTGGAAACGATCAATTAAATTGAAATATTATCGAACCATTCAACACTACCGATCGTTTTCATTTTCAAATCAATTAAGCATTCCAGGTGGGCAGGGTAACCGATATATTTGTGTGTATGTGACTAGCAATGGAAGTACTGTTAGAAGCAGAGTCTGCTTATCGGCTGATTGAAACACTATGCAGTCAGTAATACAAAAGGGATGTGACAAGATGTATTATTATTAACTTTGCGACTCTTGCCGTGAAACCAAGCACATCTCATTATTATCTTGAGAAAAAATTCCGAACGACATTATAAAAGCCCTAAGCTTTTAATTAATCCAATACGACCGGACCATTTCGTGGATGGTAACTGACAAAAAAATAGAAAGAAACTGTTACCGAAAAGTGCAGTTTCAATTACAAATTTATCTAGCGAAACAAAAAAATATGAAAACAACTCTATCATTACATTTAGGCAAGCAAACCGAATGATAGTAAATATGTCATCCTTGTCAACATAGTCCATAGTCGGACAGCTTCACTCTTGTTTCTGTAGGAAACACGGTGTGAAACATGAAGGTTAAGAGCACGTGTAATCTAGCTCGTATATATACTGTTTCACTTCAGATGATGCAGTCTGAATATTCTGGCTAATTTGTCCCGAATTCATGGATATGTTAAAAAAGATATTTAATCCTACTTGTAACAAAATAATCGTATAATTTTATAGGTAATCAGTTCGAGTATGAGAAGACATTTAGGCAATAGAATAAAGCAAAAGCATGCACATTTTGCGGTAGCCAGAACAAAATTCCACATTCCATTGTTTCGTAAAACCTCACATGATAAAAGTGTTGTCAAGGGGGGGGGCGTGGCAATGGGCACAAGTGTAAACGAAAGCAGAACCCGAAGAAAACATAATCAGATTACGAGGTAATACATATCGTACCGACCGGTGAGTGGTCCCGGATACAAGTAATTGGTTTCAGTTTCAGTTTGTACAACCATTAGCCACATATATTCGTGCGCCGGTTTTGGTTGCTTTCATTTGGCTGCTCATTTGAATGAAGCATAAGAGAAAGGAAAGTTGAAAGTGGATTCGAAAAAAAATGGAGAAGTTCAGTGGACTAAGGTTGGAAAGAAATTGAGAAGATGCAAGAACGCCACTGTTTACGACACCCAGCCATATCGCTCAGTGTCTCTAACCATCGGTTACGATCATCCCGAGGTCCCCAGCCAGGGGGCCTAACAGGACCTATGTGACCCAGTCTCTTGGTTAGGGTTTTCATACCCTCGTGCCAGGTCTTAGCTTGACCACCCTGGGCTTTATTCCACCCACTACCTGCCTCGACAAACATCGCTCGCGGTGGTAACCTATCTGGTGACATGCGTAGCACATGTCCCAACCAACGTAATCTATGGAGGTCGACCACTTGCTCCAGTGGGCGACCGCAGATACCCCAAACTCTGCCCCTAACCTCAGCGTTGCTCATCCGGCTGCCCCACCAGATTTGTGCAATGCTACGTAAACAGCAGCGTTCAAACACCGACAGTCTATCTTTATCCTGTTTTCTTAATGGCCAAGTTTCTGCACCGCATGGCAGGACTGGCCGAACTGTCGCCGCATACACTCGACCCTTCACAGACAGCCGGATGTCGCGACGGCGCCACAGATGTCTCAAGTTAGCAAATGCCAACCGAGCCTTCTGTATGCGAGCTGACACTTCATCCGTGATGCGTCCACCGGGTGAGATATAGCCGCCTAGATA